CGCTTTTCGCAATAGCACTCCCTGTCTACATCCCTCCATCTGTGGTCATTAGTCACCTCCCCGCTGAATTTGTGTTACACCTGTGCCTCATCTGTCCTCTCCAACACTGTTTTCCTATCACTGGCTTCCCTGTCTCTAAATTTACCACCTTCCATATTCCCATCGCTCAAAAGTATGGCATGATATCAGCAGAAGCCAGAACTATTCAAACTGTTCTCTTTCACAATTGTCTGGAAAGAAAAAAAAAATCTTCAAATTAGAGCAGAAATAAGGGTGAGAGAGAAACTACAACTCATGTGCAAAAGGACCAATGTGGCATGTTACGGTGAAAGGGACTGTGGACTGCAAAGCCCAGGTTCAAGGGCCAGCTCCACTTTTTAGTTACTGTGTGATGTTGGGCACGTCATCGAACCTCTCTGAACTTCAATTTCCTTACCTACACAAGGAGGCAGTATGACAACTTTATCTCTAATCTACCTTTTAAAGGCTCAAACTTGAATACTTTCCCAAAATGAGTTTGTTACTTTGCCCCTTTTTGAAGGCGTATGGCTTTTTGGAGTTCCAGAGTCCAGTGGGAAAGGCAGAGCCTGGCCTAGTGCTGTAAACCTCAGGATGTGATTGAGCTCACTGTCTGACATATCATGGAAACGACAACATGGATGTCACCCACCTTGTTCCAAAGCTTACACGCTGAACAAAAATCACGTCCTTCCAGCAGGACATTGTCCGGTTACCTCTTGTATTTGGCACCTCTGCTCACGAGAACTACCTGAGGTGTCCTCAGGGAAGGAGTGGGCTGCCCTGTGACTTTCACCTCGAGTTCTGGCATATTTTTCCTAGAATGTCTTCTGAATTCTTGGTATTTCATGACAATCAGGTTGGCCTCTTGGTACTGTGGGCATCATTCATGCCCTTCATTGGTTCAGCATCAAGAAATCAAGAAGATACCCACGTGTGTAGATTTTTCCTATGAATTAGGGAAAGGGTTTAAAGATCCTGAGGTTAGGATGACCAGCTTCTTACCAGGTGACTGTGTTTAATCATTTGAGGATGTGCAGATGACACAGTCCTATTCTATTGCCTCATTCTGCAACATCAGGCAAAATCAGAAGAAATAATTGATCTCTCTGATGGCAGGCCCTTGCCATTTCAGAGTGTGGAATAGCTCCCCCGTGCTTCTTGAGCCCACCTCAACAAAGTTATTTAGTTTCCAAGTCTAAATAACTTTGTCCTGGGATGTGTGAATAACTACTATGATCTCATACACACGTGAGTAACTTTTGAGGAATTGTGGAAGAGATCAATGAGTTTGGCTATGCCATCAGATGGGCTACCAACCTTGTAAAGTCGGCTCAACATCCATGCCAGGCGACAGTCTAAATTAGATTTATTTAAAAGAGGAAAGGGATTGTGAGATTTCAAAAAAGTGGCAAACGTACCAGGGCCAGCATATGCATGCTAAGAAATTATACCATACAAGCTCTTTTATTTATTTTCATGGATTACTTGGCTGGCAAATTTCAGGGGCTACTATACATAAAGTATGTGTGTACTTTAAAAAAAGGTGTTAACATGTCATCCATAAGAACTTTGTGGATAAGATGGAAAAATGAGGGGTATCTGGCAGTATTTTGAAGTGTATTTTTTAGTTCATGGTTGATCACCCATAAGGTTCATGAGTGGTTCTAGGGTAAAGTCACCACAGAAGGGGATAGTTACTATCATAACTTTTGTCCTATTCTCAACTCTCTTAATATCATTGCCAAGGAGTGGATAAAAACACATAAAATTTCAAATTTGCCAAGTGATCTGAACCCACGAACAACTGCTAATGTCATCACTGACAGCATCAAATTTAAAGTGATTTTTATTAAATTTAACCTTGAGCTAAAACCAAAAGATATAAAGTCCTACATTTTGGGTTCAAGGTGCAGCTTGGCAGAAACCCATGTAAAAACATCAGTATTTCAGTCTACCACAAGCTTAATGTGGTGGTATAGCTTTAAAAATAAGCCAACGCAGCCTTCCGTTTCTCTTATCAGGAGTAAAAGGTCTTGGCACAAAGTACCTTTTCTCCCTGTGTGCTGTGCGGCTCAAAGATCCGGTGAAATGTGTTCAATGTTTGACCTTCATAATTTTAAGAGAGTCACTGACTTAGGCTGTGTATAGAGGAGAGTGTATTCGGTGAGAAAATCTGATAACCATAACACATGAACAGCTGTGGAGTTTTTTTGTTTTGTTTTGTTAATATTCCACCAATATTTACTGACCATTAATTATGTAGCAAGCACTGCCATCGACCTTGGAATGCAGCAATGCACAAGGCATAGTCCTGTTGTCAAGATGCCGATGATCTAGACGGGGAATCAGAGGCACGTGAAGGCTGAGCATGGCCCTGGGGTCTGCGGGGGTAGATGCAAGGAATTCAGATTGAGAGGATCTGGAACAGAATCAGAAAAGCTCAGAGAACATGAATGTTAAGAACCATAACCTTTTAAAGTTGGAAGACCTTTTTTTCCTGGTGCTTATAAAATTAGGAGGCAGCTTCTTCTCAAAGGTCCCTTTGGCTCCAAAAGTCTTATATCTGAGGGCTGATCCCTGAGCTACAGTCACATAGATCATTACAGTCCTAAAGTTAGAATTCTATGGCCATCCGACTGAATTTCATCCAATTGTCCTCCCTGTGGTCCAGTTTTTCCCTAGTTGCTAAATCTTATTTTGTATGGTTTTCTGTTAGAATTCAGCTGGTCCCCAAATTTAGTATTGCCTGCCATTTTGACAGGCACATTCTCAGTTCCTTTGTCCAGATCACAAAGCCTTTGACCAGAATAGATCCACCCTCAACCCAGAGCAGGTGGCTCACCACTAGGTATGTCCCAGGCTACTCTCCAAGGATTCTTGCCAAGGACGGGATGGATGTGAAAAGGCCTCAGGCTTGTGAGCAAAATAAACCATAAGCTCAGCTGGAAACTGTAGGCCACCTTGAAAACAAAGTAAATAATCATACTGACTTCAGTGAGGGAAGCGTAGATGCCTTTGACCCACGTAGAGAATAGAGGAAGGAGAAAGAATGACAAGGTAACTCCTATAGTTTGTTGTCTTGAATGCACCTGTCCTGCTGTTTGCATGACAGGGGAAGGGTCCCACAATTAATGACAGGGACTTCAAGATCAGAATTTGCATTTGGAAGGTTCACTTTCAAGGGCTCCATCCTTCTATGCTGAGAGGGTAACTCCCTGAGGGTGAGGTGGGCCCCACCATGGTTGGAATGGCCCCCATGGCTCTTCCATGCTGTCTTTATCAGCTTGGGCCCCGTTAGAAACCCTTGGTCCACAGAGCACTTGCTGCCAGGTAGCACTTCCTAGAATCCAGAGGATTTTCTCCACATTCATAGTCTTCTCTTCACATCATCTCATGTTTATGTATTAATATAAATGAGATCATTACTACTTTTTGTGATGGTTAAATTTATGTATCAACTTGGTTAGGCTACAGTACCCGTATATTTGGTCAAACGCCAGTCTGGATGTTGCTGTGAAGTTTGTTTGTTTGTTTGTTTAGATGAGATTAACATTTAGAGCAGTGAACTTTGAGCAAAGCAGATTACCCTCCATAATGTGGGTGGGCCTTGTCTAATCAATTGAGGCCTTAAAAGAATACAGGGTAAAGTCTCCAGAAGGAAGAGAGAATTCTGCTTTAGATTGCATTCAGAGTTGAGCTGCAACATCAAGCCTTCCTAATCTCCAGCCTGCAGATTTTCGATTTGCCAGCCTCCACAATCATGTGAGTCAATTCCTTAAAATTTCTCTGTGTCTCAATAGGATGAATATATACGCACACATTTCATTGGTTCTGGTTTTCTGGAGAAGCCTGGCTAATATACTCTTTCAAATGAAGAACCAATAGTCCAAGTTTTTCCCTTGACCCCAGGAATAATCTCACCTCCTACTTGACAGAGGAAAACCAGACTCCAGACATGAACTCCCTTCCCTTTCCTCCCTTACACCCAAGCAATTACTGGGTTTGCATGTGCCCTCACCTCCTACCCTCAAACTAAGAAAAGATGATGCTTCTCCTCCTCTAGGTTAGTCCTTCCACCTGGACTCTTGATTTGAACCCTTCTCATCTTCCCCAATCCCAGACCTTGCTCTATCTGTCATTGCCCCTCTCCAGTAATTACAGGCTCATATCCATCTCCTTCCCCAATATCTAAAAGCTTATTCAAATGTTTCCCATGTTTTATGCACGGAAGTAACACATCTCCTTGAATTTCAAGTGGCACCTTATCTCTGTCCTCACAGCCAAGCTCCTCGATGCTGATTTTCCACAGCGTTGCCTCCCATTCACTCCCTTTCACTCTGCAGCTGCTGCATTCTACCTCCCCACCCCCTCACCATGCCGTTCAGTTGACTCTGCTGAAAACACCCGTGATCCCTGGTTGCCAAGTCCAGGGGGAGCGTTCCTGTCCTGACTTTGCCGTCTTCTCTGCAGCCTCTGACACCGACCACTCCCTTCCCAGACGTCCCCACCGCAATGCGGGGACTCCATCTCTCCAGGCTTTCCCGACGTGAGGGATTCATCCCACTGGTGACAGAAGGATCATTTTAGATAGTACAAGGCCACAAGCAGGGCCGTGTGCACTGTGTGCAAAATGCTCCCCTCTGGATTTGAGCCCTGCCTTAGCATGAAATGAAATGTGAGCAGTGTAGTGAGACTAGATTCTCTCTTCATTCCCTTTGAATCCTTCTGGTTGAAACAAAGAGAAAGCCTGAGTTTGGAATTAATAGGTCTGTTACACCTTTCTAATGCTTGTTAATCTTCCTTGGTAGAAGAAGAAGAAGAAGAAGAAGAAGAAGAAGAAGAAGAGAGGAGAAGGAGAAGGAGAGGAGGAGGAGGGGAGGAGGAGGAGGAGGAGAAGGAGAAGGAGAAGGAGAAGGAGAAGGAGAAGGAGAAGGAGGAGGAGAAGGAGGAGGAGGAGGAGGAGGAGGAGGAGGAGGAGGGAGAGAGGCAGCTCAGACTTAGCCTTGTCTGGCTACTAGCCACCAGCTGGAATGTAGAAACAGGTTTGTGTTTATTTGTTTCCATTTGTAGGAATTTTGGGGAGGACTTTCTATTGATGGCAGTGATAGTGGTAGTGGCAAGTTTCTCATTTATTACAGTGGTAATACGTTTCCTTTCAAAACAAGCTCATAAAAATGAAGCAAAGAAACAAAGCTTAAGAAAGTCATAGGTGGCCCACACCTGAGCATCCATGTCTGAGGTTTGGGAACTGTCTCCCATGTGAGTGTTTCTCAGGACTCCGACCTCGGATCTCCTCTCACACTGTCCATTCTCTGCTCGCCTTCCCATCTGAAAACACAGATCCAGTCGCTGCTGATGAAATGTGGATGTGGATCTCTCCAGTTCTCTCCTGGGCTGTTAATGCAGATTTAACCGCCTAGCCTGTCCCCACCCTCACATCCCACTGGTGTCATGACCAGTGGGTTCAGAGAAGATGTGTCCACAGAGCAGAGCCAGCCTTAATGCCTGAAGGTTCCCAAGCATTACAGAGAGCACCCTCAAAGCATCCCAAATCCAAGGTCAGGGCATACCTGGGGAACCCTACAGGGAAAGGTTCAGATAGCTGAGACAGGGGGTCAGGACAACGCACAGGGAAGGCAGCCAGAGCTAGTGCACTGAAATGGTAATAATCACTACCATTCATTGTGCCAGGTACCTGTCCAAGGAGTTTGCATTTCATCCTCACAGCTATGGAAGAGACTGAATTCGTTTATTTTTCCTTTTGGATTCCCAGCTCTGTTTCCTGGCCTGCCTAGCGTTTGGAGCAGCCATGTGACTGATTTCCAGGTACTGTGGAATGTGCATTGCTTCTAGTTGTGGTCCATAATATACCCTTCCACCCCCCGCCTCCCCCACTCCCATCCCATCTCCAAATCATCTCTTTCTACGCAGTAGTTAGCAGAACCACAGAAAGGAAGGAACACAGGTGAATACCCACTTGGACTGTTGTGCGAGTGAAGTAAACCTTTATTATGTTAAGCCACTAGGATTTGAGGGCTTAGCCCTTGTAGCAGCCAGAGTTCCCTATTGAATTCCACAAGCCCATGCCTGGTGCTGTTACTATTACCATTTTCAAATGAGGCCCTTCCGGCAAGTAACTCTCCCAAGGCCATAACCAGTAAGAGCTGGAGCCAGGATTCCAACCCAAGCCTTTCAGCCCATGTGCTTTCCTGCAAAGGTCTGTGCAGATTCAGGGAGCTAACACATAGTGGCTGACACCCGTCAGTGCTAAATAAAGGCTGTGGTTCTTGTTCCTAGTTTTTGAGTGTCCCTGGGGCTTTCACAGACATCTTTCAATCCCACCCGGCCCCCTTCCTACTGCCCTGACTCCCATGTTGACCTTGACCCATCACACCTACTGTGTGTCTCTGACAATCTCCCGGGAATAGATTTGATGCCTTTCTGCCTTCTTTTTTGTGTGTGCGATCATAGGTGTATATAGATGTTCCGCCTGCAAACGGGGGTAATGGATGTGTGTGGGTGAGTCCACTTGCCCTGTAATAAAGTTAGGGGTCTGTCCTGCTCCAGGTTTTCATCACCAGCTCGAATGCAGCTCTTTATAGGTGTGTGAGTCAGATGGAGGATGAGTCACGTTGGGGGAATAGCTAATATGATAGAAGACAAAACCAAGACTCTAAATGTTCTCCACAGGCTGGGATGATGGGCCAAAGCCACGGAGAAATTTAATAGAGAAAAACAAGCGGCAGAATCTTAGAGGAAAAGGGCCCGAAAGGTCGGCGGCGGGAGCCTCTGATTAAATCCCGGCTGGATGGAGTTCCTCCCTCCTGACTTTTACTATTCTAGTCACACCTGTTTCTATCTGATTTTCTCTGAGTGTGTGAAGAAATTACTTAATCTATTTTGAAATCTGGTTAAATTCCCCTTAACTGGGCTAGCTTAGATTTCTACACCCCGTCAGCGCAGACCTGTATCTCGTCCGATGTGTGATCTTTGCTTTGGAAAATGTCTAGTGAACGCACATCAGCGTTGCTTGCTATTGACTGGAACAGAGGGTCTGACGGGGACGCCGCTGTACATCTACAGTTTAACTGGCCGTTCCACTTGCTTCTGTCACCGATGAAAAGGAGCCACAAGAAGGGCAAATGTGTATTCTGCTGGGAAATTAGAAGGCAGGTCTTTAGAACCAATTTACTAGTTTTTCATATGAGAGAAATGTTCATTGGTTTGATATCTGGTAATGTTGCTAAAACCTAAGGCTCTCCAAAATGTTATGGCTTTAAATGAAAAGATTTACGGTAAACTAGTTTCACTCAAGTTTAGGGAAAAACAAAAGGTTAGATTGAGTCCTGAGAGGCCATAGGATCGCTAAGAATTAAAGCAATTGTCTTAAATCAGAGTTGCTAGGATTGCTTATTAAAGTGCAGGTTCCCTGGTCCTGCGCTGGACAGGACAAGGCCCTATGATAGTTCTATGCATATGTGAATCTGTGGTTTTGAAAGAAAATAGCTAGGTACTCTTATTTCCTGATAGAAATAGAAGAGTCACCATTTGGAAGAATGATCTGTTCTGTGAACATTCGTTTATGCTGATCGGGTTTTACTGAAGATTCCATTTTTACACAAAAAGTATAACTGAGCAGAAAAGCATGCTATTCAATACTCTATAGAAAAAGCCTAGTGGTTTGGATTATAAACCCATGACCAAGTCATCTGCCCCCCCCCCCCCCCTTCATCGGGTGTCAGGGTACTGAACAGCAAAGGTGTCCCTGGGGAGACATGAGTGCCCACTGCTGATGGGCCTGTGAGACCAACCTCCGGTCATAAGAAACAACACAGAGGGAATGACCAAGTCAAAATGCAAAGTCCACTTCTTCCGCGATCATTGTTACTGAAGGTCAGTCGTGTTTTGATACGTCCTTATCTGCCCGCCTATCGTCCCTGTCTAGTGCGAACACGTGCACTCATTCTATTGAGTGAGAAAGACCACTCATTCCTCATGTGTCCCTTTGCTCTGTGGCCTAGTGTTTGCCTTGGGGGGAGTTCTGGGCAGGTCTAAGGTTTTCCTGGTCCTTTAAATCACCAGAACAGATTTCTTTTCATAGTGAATATGCCCAGTCCCATACAGTAATGAACACCAGCCAGAGCTTGCTCCTGACCCCCAGGCCTACCGCCTGCAGGACGGACAGGGCGGTGGCGGCTGCTCTCCCTCCGCTGGCTCCTCGGCCACTTGCTAGCTGCTATTTGTGGCCCTGGTGAGGGTGGGGAGAGGGATTAGGGAAGAGGTACAGTCTCTGGCTGCTGTAATGGGAGTGGTCTCTGGCCTTGGCAGAGTTTCAAAGCTGACTCTTCCCTCAAGGCTTTCTTCTGTGGTTCCTCTGAGGTGCCCCACAGGATCCTTTCCCATGAGTCAGGCTGACTAAGCCTCCAACACTCAGGCCTTCGCCCTCACGGCTCCACCTTCTGCTGGGTCAGCTCATCCTCCCAGCAGTGCCTCTGGGCCAGGGCCCTTTGCAGTGGCTGCAGGTCATCTTCCTCCGCTCACACATGTGACCCACCAGGACACATCCCTGTTCTATAGTTGCTTGTGCAAGTGCCCATTGTTTCCAGGGTTCTCTCGCTCTCTCTTTCTCTATTTCTGCCTCAAGCCCTTTGCCTTTATATTTTTTCAGACACGTATTATGTATCAGTCCCCAATATGCCCCCAAAACATGCTAGACTTTCTGAGTGTCTCCTAGCAACTCCTGCTGATTTAAGAGGAGGGCACAACATTAAATTTCCCTCTAAAGGAATGTTTCCTCCTTGGTTCTCTGAGGCCTCCTCTCCATAGGATGGGGGTGGGTGACAGATTAACTCTGGCAACACTGGTTTCTTAGTCTCATATTGTTTCCTGCACGCGCTCTAACACCCATTAGGATGTGGGGATTTTGACACCCATTACGTTGTTTCTACCTTTGGGGATTCCAAAGCACCAGGTGCACCCAGGTGTGCCCAGGTACAGCCCGGGACAAGTGGAGGGGCAGCTGGGATGGATGGGGGCACCCCTCATCTCTTGCTGGGCAAGTGTGTTTATTCCAAACGGAGAGAGAAGCGTGAGCTTTGAGTGTCTTCAGGAGGCAAAGCCCTGCGTGGCAAGCACAGGGGGCTGACCTGCTCTTTCCCTGGACGCTTCCCTCTTCTCTCTTCTGTGTCCCTGCTTCCCCTGTTCACCCATCCCCACCCCTTCAGTCCCAGCCCCGCTATCTCCCAACTTTCTGGGGGGGCGGGGGGCGTGGTTCGCTCCCCCAGTGAGCTGTGCTGCTCCACTCCTTTCCCAGGCCGTCTCCTGGGGTCTCCTCAAGGCAGCCTTTCCTGCTTCCACCCGCATTGACCTCCCCCACCACCCCTTTCTCTTCAGTACTTTTGCCTTTCGCTTCTCATCCTTTCTCCAATTTATAGGTATTTATCTTCTCCATTTAGTCTTTCCTCCTCCCTTACCTTCCCTCCCTTCCTCAGTCTTTTTCTTTTTTTGAATCCCATTTTCTCAGCTACCTTCCTGGCCATGGGTAGCCTGTGACAGCAGTAAAACCTGGGGGAATTGAAGAGATCCTAGAAATAGGTGCATTTAGATCACACTTCGTGGCCGTGTGAAGCAGAGCACAGGCAATGTCCGTGGTCCTTTCCTGATGACTCAGGAGGGCAGTGTTCCAGGTCAGATGTGCCTGGAAGCGTCTCACAGGTTGACTGCACTTGGGGGTCAGCATGGTTGGTTCTCAGCTTTATACATTCAGAAAACTTTATGGATTTATCCTTTTGGTTCACTGGGAGCTATCGCGGTTGCAAAGTAGAGTCACACTGTAACATTCACAAGAGATCATGTTGCTGAAACTCTCCAAAGGTTTGCCCTCTTGCTGAAAAGAAAACTCCAAGTTTTCATCGTGGCCTACCAGGCCTGCCTGACCCGGGCCCCCACCTCTTCTCTGAGCTCATCTCTACATCCCCCCTCCTCCAGCAGATGGTCAGTGCCAAGCCTGGACCCCCACAGAATTGCCCCAGAGGACAGCTGTAGACTCTGCCTGAGCCATCCTGCCTCACTGGAAGTATTCTATGTCCTCAAGGGCAGGTTCTACAAGCCATCTTCACCGGTGAACAGAAGCCGGATAAACAGCCAGCTTCCTGACTGCTCACTAGGCGGTTCTGGGCGTGTTCCATACGTTCTCGGAGGTCCCCAGCAATGTTGAGCCTCAGTTGCCCGAAGCAGTAACCCACTCATAAATGCCTCATTTCTTAGCTTCCCTTCTTTCCCCTCTCTCACTTCCCCATTCTTTCTTGTGCTTCCTAAGACCACCTCCAGAAGAAACCACTTGCATGCAAGTTCTTACCTCAGGGAGGATGAAAACTAAGACACCGCTCTCCATTCCAGCCACACCAGCTTCCTGTTTCTAACAGCTCAGAGTCTTTATACCTGCTCCCTCTGCCTGGAATAGTCGCTCCCTCCAGTCCTTCAGGTCTGTGCTCAAATATTGCCTTCTCTGATATACATAGAAAGTAGAAACCCCTACCCCTATGGAATCACTCCCCATTCTCTGCTTTATTTCTCTTTTCATCACCAATGGCTACCAGGCCTTTTGCATGTTGATCTGTTTATATATTGACAGTCTCACAAGCAAAGGCTATGCTTTATGAGAAAAGGGACACAGTCCATTCTGTTGCGTTCATGCCTATATTCCCAGCCAACATCAAATGAATGGACACAGAGGTAGACAACAGGGAGAAGAGAAAGAATATGTGTGGCTATGGTCTCATACACACAACTTGGCTTTAATGGCTTTTGTTGGTAATAGCTCAAAG